GAAGATCATTTATCATAACAAGGAACAAAGCCGGCCCTAACACCGACCCTTGCGGCACTCCACCGTTTAACGTTTGCCAGTCCGAATGACAGTTAGCCAACTTGACTCGTTGTTTACGATCAGAGAGAAAACTTCTAATCCAATTTATAATGGTTTGGGAAACACTCATTGGTTGTAGCTTATTCACCAGTATGTTGTGATCTATTCGATCAAAAGCTTTTTCAAAATCAAGCAAGAATACTCTCACCGCATTGCTTGAAGCATCTGTAGCACTCAGGAGGTGATGGATCAGGCTCAGTAGGGCATGGGTAGCCGAGGAATTTTTAACGGTGCCAAACTGCCGCGTATCAATCTTTGCACCAATTGACTTAAGTAACCAGTCTGTAACAAACCGTTCGCAAATTTTGGATAAAGTGGGGGTAAGTGAGATAGGGCGCAAATCTTTAGAAATGTCTTTAGGGACTGATTTTTTTGGAACAGGGATAACGTTCGCTTTTTTCCACATTGAGGGTACAACTGTTTCTTGAATCGAAGCGTTGAAAATCGATGCCACAGGGGAAGAAAGAACATATGCATAAGATTTAAGCACCCAATTAGGTATTCCGTCAGGACCAGGTGATTTGGAAACGGGGATGGCGGACAATTTACAGAATACATCTTTTTCTTCGATAATAAACTGTGGAAGGATACTTGTACTGCCATTTTCAATTAGGTCATCAACTGGAGACTTATTCAAGGGAGGAATATCTTGGGTAGATGAGACAAAAACATCATTGATTTTATCTGCTAACTCTTTACCAGCAAAACCCTGGTTGTTTACAACGAAATTAGAGAATGTTTTGTTCTTGGCGAAACCCGCAAGCTGTTTTATACATTGCCACCATTTTTTAGCATTGGGGTTTAGTTTTAACTCATCCATCTTTTTCTTAAGGAAGGTTGACTTGAGTCTCTTACTTTCTCTATTGGCAAGATTTCTCAATCTACGATATAGCGGACTTTTGCCCTGACGAAACGCTCTTTGTCTATTTTCTATAATTTACTTAAATCCGACTGTAACCCATGGTTTATCATGATCGTACAACTTTACAATTTTACTAGGGAAAAGACAGTCCAAACCAGTATTTATAACTGTTTGAAAAAAATCTAACTTTTGTTCACATGATTCAGCGCGGTACAAGTTGTTCCAGTTTATATCAGCTAGCCACTTACCGAATGCTCTCCTGTCATGATTGTTCCCTTGTCTAGTTTTCACTTTTGATGTACCATATTGTCGCTATATATAGCAGTATTTTTTTACATATGGTATACAGATATTCCTGTGTTTTATACCCCACAGACAAGGTATTTTAACGGCTATATAGATGTATGCATCGGAATATCTTTGAAAAAATAGAAACCTGCAGAATTCCTTCCCATTTTAAATCGTCGAAAACTAAATCCAAAATATTTTTTTAAACGGCAGTAGCTAATAGCAAACCGCGGTTTGGGATACGGTTTAACGAAGAAGAAAAAAATAACACTCATCAATCAAGTCATTCATTTTGCACGCTCACTAGAACAACCTTTATTTTGTTTGGCTTCTCTGACTGAAAAATGCCGGCGCCCATCCTTACACCGGTGATGCGTGTGTATTGGGAATAAACAAAAGGCAGGATTTGTAATTGCACGCACGCACGCGCTAGGAACTATTGCGCTAATTGTGAACGTGTTATAACTTTTAGACCTATCAACCTATCTGGTACATGTGTAAAAAATTAGTGACGTGTAATTAAACTGTTTCAGGTCGATGAACAATACCAAGCAACTTCATTGTCAAGCAAATATTTGGGATCTCGTCTGAAAAGCTTCAGGTATTATAAGCGGTTATATGCAAGTATACTAACGGTATTTACAGTTGACTTAGCCCAAGTCTGTCTCTCCGCGCATCTGTATCAGTGTCGCCACCAATATCTTACATTATCATACAGTCTTATTGCTTCGAACATTTTATCTACGCGAAACTATGTACATAGTTCATAATTTCCAGTCTTAAATCCGTCTGACCGTACGTGTAGCTCAGTTGGTAGAGCGTAGATCTAGTATTTCGAATGTCGCGGGTTCAAAACCCAGCCGCATGCAGCAAGCAATATCTTTCTGCTTGTGCGCGGTCTGGAAAATATAAAATATTCACTCGAGAACATTTGCAACTTTTCATATTAAGCTACGTTTACATGTACACGCTGCAATTAATCGTGTACGATTCGTTTTCTGGCGTATGTCATTGAGTAAACACGCGTAAGCTGGCTACATTTGAAATTTCTTTTTAATGAAACGGCAATGAATTATGGCGCCAGCACTAATTTTAATACTCCAGAACACGAATCGTACACGACATATCGTAGCGTATAAACGTAGCTTTAGAGAGTGAAGAATAACACATACCTACATGTATATTATTAATAATTGACCATAAGCACAGTTGCTAATATATATATATATATATATATATATATATATATATATATATATATATATATATATATATATATATATATATATATATATATATATATATATAGGTTTCATATGAATACGCATGATCTCTGCATGTCACAGATTTTAAATCAGCGCAAATATGTATATCATATATATGTATATATATATATATATATATATATATATATATATATATATATATATATATATATATATATATATATATATATATATATATATATAATATACAACCAACAATGAGACGATGGATGTGGGACGCATGAATTATATATACGACAAGAACGCCATTCAACCTAATACGCATGATCTCTTCATGTCACAGATTTAAATCAGCGTAAAGGCCTATAGGCAATTGTGCCCCAAGCTCACTACCAGCAACTGCGGACAGCTGTTTCGCCCTTTTGGGGCTCGTCAGCGCAGTGTAGCTAATAGAGAGCTTTTCATCCGAAAAGTATTTATACAACCAACAATGAGACGATGGATGTGGGACGCATGAATTATATATACGACAAGAACGCCATTCAACCTAATACGCATGATCTCTTCATGTCACAGATTTAAATCAGCGTAAAGGCCTATAGGCAATTGTGCCCCAAGCTCACTACCAGCAACTGCGGACAGCTGTTTCGCCCTTTTGGGGCTCGTCAGCGCAGTGTAGCTAATAGAGAGCTTTTCATCCGAAAAGTATTTATACAACCAACAATGAGACGATGGATGTGGGACGCATGAATTATATATACGACAAGAACGCCATTCAACCTAATACGCATGATCTCTGCATGTCACAGATTTAAATCAGCGTAAAGGCCTATAGCCAATTGTAGGGGGCACAATTGCCTATAGGCCTTTACGCTGATTTAAATCTGTGACATGCAGAGATCATGCGTATTAGGTTGAATGGCGTTCTTGTCATATATATATATATATATATATATATATATATATATATATATATATATATATATATATATATATATATATATATATATATATATATATAGATATTGCTCTATGGCCTTTGTGTCATATTGAGCACTCTACAGGATGAGCCATTGCTGCTTACGCATTGTGCGCATGCTCACTGCTCGCAGTTTGAGCACTCTTGGCAATGGTTTGATGTCCCACATTCGTGAGACATCAAAGGTAACTATTTATAGTGGTTACTTTCATCCTGCTCATCAGCACTACACTGTTGAGGCCCAAAAGGCCGAAACGGTACCGTCTGTAGTTATATAGTTTGAAATAGTTATATATACGAGTAGGTTTGTGTATACGAAACGCAAAGAGTGCTCAATATCATAAAGATAGAGCAAATGTAGAATTTCGCTTACCTCAAAATTCCGCAACAGTCTGTTTCATCAGTAAAGAATCATCAGGCGGTATGACAAGTTTCGAAAATAGGACTGCTTATATGTGTTTTGGCCGGAATGTGGGTGTGTGTGGGTGGAACAAAGCATGCATTCATCTATTGTTTGCGTTGTTTACGCGGAAATGCCTAATCGAGTTGTGGAAGTGTATTGTTTGCGTTGTTTACGCGAAATTTCTTCCTATGTCTGCACGTTGATATAATGGATATTGCTTTGTTCCACCCACATTCCCCCACATTCCGGCCAAAACACATATAAGCAGTTCTATTTTCGAAACTTGTCATACCGCCTGATGATTCTTTACTGAGGAAACAGACTGCTGCGGAATTTTGAGGTAAGCGAAATTATATATATATATATATATATATATATATATATATATATATATATATATATATATATATATATATATATATATAATTTGTTTTGTTGTAGTAGATAATAAAGTGCTCAACACTAATACAAAAGTAGAGCAAGATATATTTATATCTTAAAATTAATTATTGCTACTCAAGTTTCACGCCTTATTCAATGAATAAAGGCGTGAAACTTGAGTAGCAATAATTAATTTTAAGATATAAATATATATATATATATATATATATATATATATATATATATATATATATATATATATATATATATATATATTTATATATATATATATATATATATAGATGACAAAATACAATATTCGCATCAGCCAGTTCGACATTTATATACAACAGAATAGCTGGCTACGATCCGAGAGAAACCAATACTAAAAATGTACTTTATTACTTTAGTACATTTTTAGTATTGGTTTCTCTCGGATCGTAGCCAGCTATTCTGTTGTATATATATATAGATAGATAGATAGATAGATAGACCCTGGATGGATGGGTCACAAGGCCTGGACATTTGCTTCGGTAAATGAGCTCACGAGTGGAGGAATGCTATCGTATGTTAATCTTTGCTTTTAATTTTGCATATATCTAGAAAAGGGTACGTATGTGATATTACTCTCGGAGAACTCCATCGTTTATATATATATATATATATATATATATATATATATATATATATATATATATATATATATATATATATATATATATATATATATATACACTCTAAAAACAGGTGTGTTCAATTACACACCAAGGTGTGTTTAATTACACACCTTCCTATACAATTTTAGAAAACACACCTTTGCGTGTTAGAAAACACACCATGATGTGTTAGAAAACACACCATGGTGTGTAACAAAACACACCTAGGTGTGCTAACAAACACACCTGTATTTTACACACCTTTTCGTACACACCTTTGATGCATATAAGGTGTGTTCAATAACACACCTTTTGAATGAAAACACACCTTGGTGTGTTCAAGAACACACCTCATACTAATTTACAAAAACACATCTTGGTGTGTTAGATAACACACCCTACACCGATTTTGGAAAACACGCGTGCACGGTGTGTACTGAAAAATGCTTTTTAGTAACATACAATAAATCCAATCATCAATCACGGTAATGTATGCTATAATATGTTTTTCGGATATATACAGTAGATGTAAATGGCGATATTGACTTTGCCGGCGATATCAAGTTTTACGTGTCTAATAACCGTTTGATATTTCTTGTGTAGTATTTTATTCCTTCGCATGTAGTAAGAGCATTACTGGGACTATTTATTTTCTAAGAGATTAATCTGTCTTTAGCACACCATTAATATCTGAAATATAGGTAACTGGTCTTTTGAAGCTCTTCGGATCGAAAGAAACGAAAATTCTCACGATGAGCGCGATTTTACAGACTGGTGCCTAGTTTTCGTACTACGCGCGCAAAGCTTCCCGGGATAGCGTCATTTATTCACACCGCCATATTTTTCAAGCCTTCATTCTGAATTTATGGCTTCGAAAAATTCGCTTTTTTAAGCGACGACGAATGATTTGAACGAAGAGGAAACAGCCGGGATGACTGAATAATGTTCAGGTAAGCATATTGTTA